ATTCGCTCAGTTATGTCATTTTTAATGCGAATATGACATTATTTGACCAAACCCTAACCTAACCCTACCCCTAACCATAGCCCATAACAAAGACATCTCAAGCAATGTCATCTTTGCATTAAAAATTACATAACTGAGCGAATGACACTTAATGACAGTTGTCATAAACATGCATAAAAACCCTTCATATTCATGACATGTGTCGTGTCATGATTATGTAGGTGTCATGTCATGATTATGAAGGTGTCATGTCAGTCTTATGCACACCCCTTCAAATAAAGTGTAACCAAATACCCTACTAGAAACAACAGGAGGAACCTATGAGGACAGCAAAAGCCCTTCACACTATCTCTGGTTACCATTAAGCTGGAGATGCATGAGAGGTGAGAAAAAAGGAGGAATAAAAATCACATCAAAAGATGAATCCCCCCACCCCCCACCCCACAGTTAAACGTTATACAGCAAGTCACTTTAAGTGGTATTTCCAAAACTGCATTTTGTTTAATAGAGCACCTTAATTGACAGACAGGCAAATTATAGGTGGAAATATATTTTAGAAAAAAAAATCTTAAATCAGTTCACAGAAATGTAAATTGCTGTTAAATTATTTCATCACACTGCCCCCCAAAATGAAGCTCCTTTATGATAATGGATGGCCTGTCATGATTTTCTATATCAATTATGAATATGAAAATATTCATGACTGACAACACCTCACTAAGATTTATTTAATTTTTCCTATTTTCTTATTCAAAATATTTCTCTAACCCTTGGCAATAATGAAACCGACCATAAACAAATACGATTAAATTAATATGAAGACCTTCACAGAACGGGAGAGGGGAAAAAACTATGTGAGGAAAAAATGCTTTTAACTGAATTATGGCCTAATTTATTCCTTTGGGCTAAGAGCTCCCCAGTTGCTTAAATGAGACTAGTATCTCCCCAGGGAGCAATACTGTCTAAGTGTGTGTGTGTGTGTGTGCGTGTGTATGAGAGTGTGTGTGTGTGTGTGTGTGTGTGTGTGTGTGTATGAGAGAGTGTGTGTGTGTGTGTGTGTGTGTGTGTGTGTGTGTGTGTGTGTGTGTGTGTGCGCGCGCGTGATATTTGATTGTATAGGTTTCTGCTTTACACTAATTACGGGGACAGGAACCATTTCAGCAACTGTTTCTTTCCAGTATTTGCTTTTCGATCGTTCTCCCAGAGTACTCGCTGCATGATCTGCATCAAACTATTCATTAAAATTATTTAAAAATAAATAAAATAAGAAATTTGATCAATTACCTAGATTCTCTTTTCAGCCATAGGACTGGATTTTTACTTTACTGAACTACTTGCTGTAAAGCTACAACTTCTTTGTGCCCAAATGCATAAATCCTTCATATAACCAAATTCTTACACTATGCATATGTATTTTATATAATTTTATATCATTCAAATTGAATTTTCAAATCATTGGATACTTCTGGGCCCTAAACACATGGAAGAAAAAAATGTGTTTCCTGTTAAAAATTTTGGGAAGTGCTAAATATGTACCATTTATAATAGAGAAAGTGAGTTTAGGACACAAGTTAAATGATTACAGAGCAGATAAATGGTGTTTAACAACTCTTTTCTCTTTACAATTGTCAGTGATGTAATTCCTTTGCAAAGGTTACAAGTGCATGTTTGAGCCAAGTTTGAGCGCAGTGTAATTTGTTGGTTCTGAAGCGGGTGGCTGTTCTTCGCGGAACACTCCAGGCCATCATAAATCTGGCCCCTGACTCAAGCTGCTGTTGTTTTGCGGTCCCACCTGTGTGTGGTTTAGTGGTTAACTGGGCTTCTGTCTGCAGCTGATAGTTCAGTGTTCCCCGAGCGAGTACACAGAAAGGGAAAACAGAACGAAAGGGAGAAGCGATCTGTTTGTCTGATCCTACACAGAGCCCAGTAATTCTACACACTACTGAGTGATTGTAAAAATAAAGTGCAAAGGCACATTAGTGAGTGGAGCGGGAGTCCTGACAGAGAAGAGTTTGGCGAAGGATTGCTCCATCAATGAGAGAAAAACTGGCAGGTGTATGTTTTGGAGAGCAGGGCACAGACGGGCATTAGGGCAGTGTGATTATGTGGCACTGTGGCAGCGACACAAGGAATAAAATTCCACAAATCATCTGGCATTGATGGAGGGCTCTGCTAACACATGCATGAAGTCAAATTTACAGATGAGATCCCTTGAATATCTCAATTGTTTTGATCAAGACAACAAAAGTAAAAGAAGATTTTTATTAAGTCTGCAAAAAAAAAAAAGTATATTAAAGTCTGCCAAAGTCAGAGATATTAATATATACTCAAACATATCAAATTCTTCAATGACCAAAAAAAAAAGTATCTATTGTGTTTTAACTTTTTTTTGAAAGAAATTAATACAGTTTTCAGCAAGGATGGAATAAATTGACAGTAAAGACAATTTCAAAATATTTCTATTTTAAAAAATGCTGTATTTTTTCTGAAGGATCATGTGACACTGAAGAATGGCTGGCTTCTGAATATTCAGCTTTGCCATCACAGAAATAATTACATTTAATAACATTTCATAGTATTTCTCCTTTTACTGTATTTTGATCAAATAAATGCAGCATTCATAAGCAAAACATTAAAAAAATGAACCCCAAACTTTTGAATGATTAAAAAATAAATAAACAGGCAATTATGAGATAAAGTTTAAAATAAGAAAAAGTCAAGTTGTGAGGAATTAAGTCAGAATTATGAGAAATAAAGTTGAAATCACTTTTTTTTATTCTGAGGCAGAAATGGCTCCCCATAGGAACATTTAAAACAAATTGTTATCTAAATTAAAGATAACTGGTAAATTCATTAAGCCTGATCAATGAATGAGAAATAACTGAGCAATAACATTTTCTGCTGGGCACACAAATATAGTAATGCTTGCAGACAGGCAACATTGGGATTATCAAGAACACCAACGGCATAGAAAATTCTCTCTCTTACTTACACTCTATAAATATATTTTATTTTATGGTCTCTACACTTCTATACTGACATACCACATCTTAATGCATTACTCAATATACTAAAGAGTTTGTACATACTTCACATTACATTTACAGTCATTTTTATCCAAAGTATAGTGTAGAAGTATTTATCAGGTGAGAGCTTAAGCAAACTACAACACCACTGAAGCAAAAACCCTCACTCAACAACAGGATGTCCTGCTCCTATGAAGACAAGTGAGTGCAAATGCATCGCTCACTGCAAATCAAGCAGCTGCTCTTGAACATCAAATGAGCACAATTAACTTTTCATATGCTTTCCCTCATTATATCAAGAGGAAACCGAGAGATCATCCCGTGCATATCCAACCGCAGCAGTATGGTAACAATTCTTTGAAATGTCTTTCTAATTACACCAATCACAAAAGCTCTCTGTTATCCAATTAGGAATCAGCACCACCTGAGCAGTGCTAAAGCCTTCTGCATTTACATGTGAGGATTTATATAATATAATATAATATCACAAATATATCATATCATATCATATCATTAATTATTACATTTACAACTCCCTTTAGAGGAATAAAAAGAGAGATATTTTAGATATACACATTTATCAGATTGGTCTGAGATAAGACAAATCAGAAATAATTTGATTAGAAATGTTCGAGCTCATATTGAAATCTCTGACTTTTGATATTGTGGCACATCTGAGTATAAATAAAGACATTGTGTAGACCTCTTCTAAATTTCTACAGGAGGTTTTATATATATATATATATATATATATATATATATATATATAAAGGAAAACCTGTTTAGTGGAGAAAAATTCGCCATTTGAACATTTAATCTGATTGCTGACTTGGAGAAATATTTGAGATTTCAAAGAAATTCAGATTTTTCTGTCCTATGGGTGCAAAAGTGCATCCTTCTGTCCCTAACATACATTTGGTGTCACATGTTGTGATGTTCCCACTAATGGAATGCAAACTCCTTGCAATTTAAATCAAGAAAAGGCAAAAAGCCTCTCATGACAACAGAATTTTTAGGCTAACTAAAGTGGGGTTTGGCGTCGGGATGCTGCAGGGCCAGGGGAGTCCAGACCTCAGGGGCTAGTTGGAGTCACCTAGCTCTGGGCCAGCAGCAGCAGTGAAGGGAGGGTTTATGGAGAAATCCCTTTTACAAGCATCGAACAATAAGTGGCTGTCAGTCTCCCGTCTGGGCTCTATGCCTCACGGTCTAGAGAGACCACCACGGAGGAGGGGGGCGGCTCCCTCAACTTCCCTCAAATTCCTACTAGTCCCGCTTTCTCATTGTCCCTTTATTTATAGATTCATAAAATCGCTCTGACGTGAAATGCAATTCAGTACGTTGTTCTCCTGCACTTTTACAGTGTGAGGGATCTCCAGGCACTCGTGGGGGACTTAAACTTCAAAGCCGAGTCCTTGGCAAATCGCAAAGTCTTAAGTCTTCATTTAAAAAGTGTTCCAGACAGGCCTGCTCTGTTCTAGATATGTCCTTGGGTTGAGGATTCCTTTCTGCAGGAGTACAGTGTGTGTGTGTGTGTATTTGCTTTGAGAGAATAGATGTGTGTTATTTGTGAAGGTTTACTCCATGTTGTGTTAATGTCGTAAGATTGTGTCGCAAATGGAAAATATCCATACAGTTCTAGACGAATCACCTCGACCAGACGGTTCTCACTCTTTTTATCCTGCCAACTATCTTTAATAATGCAATCTTTCATCTACACCTCATTAGAAAGTTAAAAACACACATAGCCTGTGTTAGCACACGTAAATGAGCTATGAAACACTGGCAGTGGCGCTCACCATGCGCTGCTGGGCCAACATCAGGCTGTCCCAGTCGGATTCGGGTGGCACGCTGCTGCTGATTGGCTCCTCCGGGGGAGGTTTGTTGTGGAGCAGATTGTGCAGGGGCAGCTGAGGGGCGACTAATGACTCTGAGTTTTCATCTTTTTCCCAGGACATGTGCTCCTGATTCACTCCATCCTCGCCTCCATCAGGGGTCAAGGCGAATGGAGAGGTGGCTTGCTTGGAAGACATGATTCTGCTGAGAGAAAAGCAGAGGAAACATGTTTGTCACAAAACATGCAAAATTCCAATGGAACAACTTCATTCCGAATAAACAGTCTTGCAAATGTCAGACAGGAAATACTGGAGCTTGGATTTCATTCTGTATGAGCGCCCTCACATCACATATATATGAACTTGGCTGCTGTTCTGAGCCTCTGTGCCACATCTAACCCCACGATTGGACTGGTATCAGAGATGGGGAGATCCTATCTCTCTGAGCTCGGTGAGGGAGAAACGTATGCACTGGGGTCCCTCTTAATCCTTTGTTTAATGTAAATGGACGTGCTGAGCTATGGCTGGAGAGCTGCCTGAGGCAGGCCCAATCCCCCCTGCCCCGCGGCTGATTACCGCACTAATATAACACGCTCTCATTAATGCGCTAACTCTGCCACCAACCACAAAAAGAGCGGTGACGCAGACACTTAACGGGATTTTGATCATTACATTCATATTGAGTCTATAAATGTGCCATTTTCCTTCGTTTTGTTGTAATTGTGCTTTTCTGCTTTTGCAATTGTACATTAGCATTAATGCGAGTAGGCCGCAGTGACAGATGGGAGGTAACTTTTCAATGATTTATAGCAAATTTCCAATAAAAAAAAAAATAGGGTTGGTAAATTCATTTGTTTCAAACAAAAGTCATCATGTCATATAGTGTAAAATTCAAATTCAAAATTCAAGCTTCTTTTATCCGAATAAAATTCAATTAATAAAAATAAAATAAACCAAATAAAACCAAACACAAATAAATAAAACAAAACAAAATAAATCAACAGATCACTTGTGATTTGATAACAATTCATGAAATTATTACTAAGTGCTAAGGATAAACTTAACCTGCTAATCAAATTAAACACTTGATTTAAATACTTAATCAAAAGGCTGCAACTGATATAGAGAGTTGAGAATCAGCCAAGACACAACTTTCCTACCGGCCTTTAAATTGCCTGCTCTGAGACAAAGGGCATGGGCATTCTAGGTCATAGGCTGCAGGTGAGCTAATGTCCTTCCACTGCCCACTGAGACTGAGGGGAGATGAGAGAGAGGCAGGCTGGGTAATGAAGGCAGCCCAAGGTGCCTCCAGAACTCCATCTCCCAGCCCTGCCAAGTTTTCCAGCATGTGGCTCATCGTGGGACGAAAACAAATTTGACACCGGGAGAGATTATTTCAACACCAAACTGTGAGTTAATCTGTTCACGTGTGTGCGGAGGCCGTGCTCTTCGGCGCATGAGGGATGTGTGGGTTGCAACGGGCTGTCAGGCCCAATCGCTCTCAGCCCCTTTAAAATATGACTACTTCATTTGAAGACGTGCCATCAATTTGCACTCATGGCTGAGCACTTAAGCCTCACACTCTAAATATGAATTGTTTAATACAGTTCGGTAAGTGAGCTTTAAAAAATAAAAACCAAAACAACTCAAGCTGCTATTGTCTCACGCTAGCTTCCGTATTAATAATTTTGTTATGCTTACCGGAAAAAATAAAAATAACACAAACACATCTGCAAAGTATTGGATGAGCTCTGCGGCAGCCAACAGAAGTGGACAATGGAAGTCAATGGAAGTTAATCAAGCGGGATACTGCAGCTGTGCGGTGTCTGTTAGTTAGTGCAGAGGAAGTCACCGGAGACCCAGACCGCTCCGTGCCCCTATTTTCTTTAGCGAGACCGAGGCCTCAATTTTAATCAGCCAATAAATTGTTTCCTGTAATTATATCAAACAGAAAGTGATCTCTAAAATTGTAGAGCGTTAATTGAAAATCAAATTTAAGAGCAAAGTTCAGAGCGGTGAATGGCTTGCGGAGGGGGTGTGCGACAGCTAGACGAGGAGAAAGCATGCTTATGAGAGACCGAGCGATTCTGCTTCTATTTTTTATTCATGGATCCAAAGAGCCAGAGCTTCCAGCACAACAACCCCCACCTTCATCTTCAATGGACTGCAAGCGAAACAAAGCACTTCTTTTGTATTACACAGTAAATCAAGTGGTATTATTTTACCTCTGAAATATTCAGTCTCTCAGGCCTTTCCCTCCAGTCTCCAGCCATCAGTCAAACTGCTGAGGCATGATAGCGAGGGAGAGAGAGGCTGACTCCATCCTCCTGTAACATGTGTCTACAGCAATTTTACTCGCAAACGCAACCGATCTGAGCCAGGGCCCCGTAACAGTATTTGTCAGTTGGAGTTAATAATTCATTAGGGGAGCTGGGAGGGCGGCTCAGCCCATGAGTGCCGGGTTCATGAGTTTTGCCCCCCAATCCCTCCCAACCATAACACCCCCCACCCACCCCCTCCGCCCCACTCACATCCACCCGGCTAATCTGCACCCATGGCTGAGAATGGAACAATGTGGCTGCCGTTTAACTGGAATAAAGCCCTGATTCCTAGATGGATTTTTCCTTGAAGCGCACTTCAAAATCATTTAATTCCCCCCTACGAGCAATAAAACAAAAACCCGCTTCAGTTCTACAGTACGTGGCGTTTGACGGAGGAGGGGAAATAGCCTTGACGCCATCGTATTTCATCAAATTAAATGCTGTTTTACACTCACGAAACAGTCCAACGAGCCACCGCAGCACTTCCTTTGATTCTTATTAATAATTCAACCTGTTTCTCCAGTAAATAAATCTGATCTGTTGGCCTTTGTGCATTTTAAGCAGAGAATATATCAGTTAAGCCAGAGCGGCCTCATATGAATTCCTGTCAGCCCTCTCCCGCTCAGGCCTGATTACACAATAACAATGGACAGCTAACAAACCAAACCAATCAATAAGTGTAGGGCAGCACAGCTTGTCTTTTGGCAGTCCGAGGGAGAGAGAAAGGTCCCATATATAGCTGACAATATTGCGATACGTTTATGAGGATTAGGAGTTAAGTTCTCGGCATGAGTTCTCATGTAGCCTGGAATGCTTCGACTCATGAATTGTTGCCGCTGCTAATGTTTCATCACGCACTGACCTCTGTTTAATTGGTTAGCGGCATTAGAAGACACCTTGCGCTGGTGTTCCTCAGGGGGTCTCATGACTGGGGGCCATGTGTCTTGGGATATCCGCTTTCGCCCCGCTCAATCGGTAGAAGCCCCCCACTCCTCTCCACGTCTCTGCCGTGTCTTTCTGTTGCCTTTTTATAGACAATGGCGATAAGTAACTCCTAAGCTACGGTGTCACTGTTGCTCCCTTCCCCTCGGTCACCCCACACCCCCTCAAAACCACAGGCCTTTGCAGACCCCCTAAATCACCAGCCACTCCTGAAAGGAAATATTTGAAGGCTGCTTTTTGCTCTGGCACCACCACCCAGACCTATATGAAGAGAAATAATCAAATAAAAGAGGGTAAAACAAAAGGGTCATTGTTGGAAGGAGCTAACGATGGGTGAGCAGAAAAATGGCAAAAGCTGCTTTATGACAAGGCTTCAAGTTTCCACGGGTTACAACACACACACAGACACACACATACACACACACACGCTCTCACGACCGAGCACACATGTGTATGTTCATGCTTGAGCATATGCACACACTTTCAAAATACAGGCTAATTAGAAACGTAAAGGTAGGATGGAGAAAGTAAAAAACTTTTCAAATGAGAGTTTAAAAGGCTAATCATAAATCTGAAACAGGACACTCCAATGCAGTTATTCAAAGTGTAACAGGAAGCATTTGCGTCTGAAAGGATATCCATAAAAAATACAAAAGAAACAAGCAACTGTGTGTTGTGTAGTATTCCTGTGGCGAGGCTTATAATAATACGCTTGTAAGATAATTGTGCCGGTCTGTACAGAGTAATAAATGAGGAAACAACACTAACAAAACAAATAAATTAAAAAAAAAAGCTATTCAAAATGGTAAACACACCCTGACAAAATATCAGCATTTTTTTTTACAACAGCAGCTGTTGCAGTCGTAAAGGTTGGTGAGAATTCGGTTACTAATACAGAAGTCACTGATACTTATGTTCAAACAACAGCACAATGTTAAACATAAAATGAATATAATAATCTCACCCATTAATACTAAACACGACTGTAGAGACTGCACACACACGAACAGGTGTCCCACAGAGAATGAGAACAAGAGAGACATACAGAGGCATGAGTTTGCATATGTGTCTTTGTGTGAGCGTCTCTCTGACAGCAGTTCACACAGGTGACGGCACAGACTCTCAAGGTTTTCACCTCCTATAATCAACCCTCTGTCACCTGTGAAGCCTGGGCTGGAAAATTATCATCCCTGCTGTAGCTGTTTAGCACCTTCAAATTATCACCTTCCATTGTACCTGAGCAGTCTACCCATCCGTGAACAATCATCTGAGACAGAAGGAAAGAACGTCGTCTCTCAGAACTAGGACTTAGAACTAGTATAGTAATATTAATAGAAAACAAGCTCCTCAAAAACAAGCAATTTCTGTTTATCTATTTTGATATATTTTATGGCAATTACTAATTGATTTATAAGTAAATAAAATTATGATTTTGAATAATAGCAATAAAAATTACAACCTCATCAAAATACTATTAATAAAACATAATTAAATATAAAGACATTATAAATATAAATAATAGTTACTACTACTACTAATTATTATTTTTATTATTAAAATGTATTATTATACATTTTTGTTGTTGTTGTTGTTATTATTATTATAAAAGCTAATTTAATGAACAGTGATTGTAGCACACTTATGGATAGTGATACTAATAAGACACTTCTAATGTTCAGAGAAATACCTTCACATTTAAAAATCCATCAAACAAGTAAACAAACAAATAAATTAATATAACAATTATGTGTAATAATAGTAATAAAAATAACTAATAAAAGTTAATAAAACAAATATATTTAAATAAAAAAATAATTGTAGCACACTTATGGATAGTGATACTAAGACATTTCTAACCGTCTGCGCAAAACCTTCACTTTTTAAAGCCATCAAAAAACTGTTTAAATTGTAGTCCATAAATGTTAACCTTGCAACCCTTTCA